TTTTCATCAGTCCTGGGAGCACAAACAGGTATTAGTGTACCAATCTTCAAATAATTTTAGATGTGTATCCTAATTGAAAAACTGCTAAGAAGTGTACATCATTAAGGATCCATATCTCTTCTGTCTTGAGAGTTTTTTTTTTTTTAATTATACGTTAAGTTCTGGGATACATGTACGGAATGTGCAGGTTTGTTACATAGGTATACACGTGCCATGGTGGGTTGCTGCACCCATCAACCCGTCAACTACATTAGGTATTTCCGCTAATGCTCTCCCTCCCCTAGCTCCCCACCCCTTGACAGGCCCTGGTGTGTGATGTTCCCCTCCCTGTGTCCATGTGTTCTCATTGTTCAACTCCCACTTATGAGTGAGAACATGCAGTGTTAAAACTAGACGTTACTGAATCTTTTTTTTATTTTTTGCCTTGGCACTGGGTTCTGGTAAAAATGGTCTGAAACAGCATTTTTTAAACTTTAGTGTACTTTGTACCACCTACAGATCTTGGTAAATACATTTTCTAATGTAGTAGGTCTGGGATGTGAGTAGGTAATACCAATGCTGCTAGCTAACTTTGAAACACAAGTTAGTTGTATGTGAAGCACTAACTTCACATAGAAACATAAACATGGATACACATTGGAATCACATGGAGAACTTTAAAAAATATTGATGCCTGGGTCGTACCTGAGAGCAGCTTCAGCATTTAGATATTTCTAAGCTCGCTGAAGAATTCGAATGGGAAGCGAAGGATGAGAAACACTGGTCTAGAAACAGTGATGACAAACAAGAAAGTCACCTACCTTCTTGTTCCCCTGTCCTTTGTCCATCCGGGAGTTCTTGGGGAAGGGGATCAAAGTGTAGCCTGCACTGATGAGGAAAGCCAGTGGAGTCAATCCAAGTACCCTCTCCCATTGACAGTAGTGGACATGCAGTGACAAATTCTTCTTTTGCTGGACTTCTCTTAGTCACCAATCTATCAATAAAACAGCAGTACTACATAAATGTTGAATTAACTGTTATAGTCAAGAAAGAGATTTATGAAATACTTTCATGTCTCAGTGACAAATTTTGCTTTGCTTCTCATTTGCAGTGTATAAATGGTCTTCCATTTCTTCTTTTGTTTATTAAATATTAAGTGCTGTCTATGTGCCAGAAACTTTGCTACATTCTAAGAATACATCATGAGCACAAAATAGCCAACTTTGCTAAAGCTAGGATTCACATTTCTAGGTTAGAAATTTTGGCCACAAAAGAAGGCAAAAGTGACCAGAAACCATTATTGTTGGAAGATCTTGATCATGGTTAGTCAGTGATGGACAAATACAAAGGTGCCCAGCAGCTCACTCCTCTCTACTCTATAGCATCCTCATGACTACAGGCCCTGCTGGCCAACAGCAGCCCCAGGCCCACCACCAGGCACTGGGCTGCGGACCTGAAGACAGTAGCTTCAGAAAAGCAGAGTCGTTCCACATTCGGCAGTTTCCGTAGATTTCCCCAGCAAGCTCCCCGTCATAGTTCCACTTCAGCAGCTTGGGCATGCTCGGATTATCAGATTTCCCTGCACGCTTCCATTTGTTTCCCACAGCAGTGTTTCAAACAGCCTGCTTAGTCATCCTTTCTCTGATCCTGACTGGCACGCCACAGTAGAGCAGGCTACATTTTTATCCTTTGCCCCATATACTCTGATCCTTCAGTTTTCCTTTTCCAGACCCTCATTTTCCCAGCTCCTATATTTGGCAAAATGTAATTCCTGTAATAAATACCTTAGTCCTATAATTCTTATAATGGCTTTGTTTTCCTGATGGGTACAGTCTGATAGAGGAAACATAAAAATAAGCGATGTCTTATAAATCAGTGTTAAAAGCGCTAACTTCACAGGCGTATGAACATATAGGAGATGAACAACATTCTGAATTCTGAGAAAAGCTTCAGAGTTAGCCAAATGAATATTATTTCAGAGACTGAAAAGGAGAAAATAACTTCCCGGGACTAAATGAAACAGATTTATTACAAAGAGGGAGAGAGACAACTGGACAGGGACGCAGGGGCTAACATTCCCATAGGTTTCCTTCTGACGTGCCTAACTATGTGGGTTCCAGGCCCTTTCATCATTAGTTCCATTGGACATTGTTTTCACAAGAACTCC